ACACACACTGTATATACATGCTTGTGTTTGCACTTTTGCGTGCACAAACTGATGCAATAAGCTATGGTGACCTCTTTATCATAACCAGCAGGGGGTCAGAAAAGCTGTCTAAAAATCTCCCCTACTGGCTACTGCCTTCAGCAACCACGGCTCCCGCGGCTACCTGAATACCCAAACAGTGAACCTGATAGGATGCAGTCACCGTTGAGGAGATAATTTTCCACCCGCCTTAGTCAATTGTTAAAGGAGAACTATGAGGTGAGTGCTTTTCACTCACCTCATAGTTCTAGCCGACCTGTGACAATGAGACTGTCACAGGTCGGCTCAGTAGATCGGGAGGTGAGGGAACACATACCGGCGTTCACTCACTTCTCGATCCTGTCACGGCTCTCTGCCGTGACAGGGGAGGGGCTGGATTCCCCCCTCCCCGCTTCAATCCGCCAGCGCTGACTGGCGGAATAGACGGGGAGGAGGCGGGTACAGCTGGCTCTGCCTCTAGATAGGCAGAGCCAGCTGTCAGTCACGCAGCTGGGCGGATCCCGGCACAATTGTCGGGATCCGCTTCAGCTGCGGCGTCTCAGTATACCGCCAGCAGCAGCTTGCGGTATACTGAGCCTAGGGTGATGGGAGGACGCTAGTTTGTGTCCTCCCGTTACCCTAAGGAGAACTATGGGGAAAAGACTTAACCCCATAGTTCTCCTTTAATGGAATTTGTTGAGCCGGGTGGTTCCTCTGATGTCACTGCACACGGTGAGCTCCGCACAATGTGCATTAGAAGCTGCAGCAAGTCAGGCAGAGCCTGATTCATTTCCAGGCTGGAGGACATTCAAGCATCATCTAGCACTTTCCTCCCTAGCTTGACTGTTCCGGACCCCGCCCCTTTCACTCATTGGATTTCAGTTCGGTCAATCATGAAGGCTCAGAATCAAATGTGGTTATTACCTAGAGCACTCTGCATGCTAAAGCACCCTGCCGCGGAATGCACACTACTCCAGGGCAACACCCACGCAATAAGGCATTTAAAAAATTTGCATAAACTCTCCCAAGAGCCAGCGCTCTGCTTGCGTCAGGGTCCAGGGCTCTTCAGAGGAGTACTGAGGCAGGGTGCCGTGATGCTTTCAGGAAGATATGTCCAGCTGATGTACAGATTTGATTCTGATTGGTGACTGTGAAGAGCTTCTTGGGGTGGCCATACACGTAGCAATCTGTGATCCGTTTACATGCAAGTGATGGCAGACAATGGATTCATCACAAATGAACAATGGCACAGGTCCGCTATTAGCTGACAATCGATCAATTTGAAAACTCAATCACCTAAGCGATCTGTATTGTGATCAGTTCTCCGACATACACGCAGGTACTTCTTCATATAGGTCTGTGGTTTACCATTCCGATTCACTCCTGCACATTAGCTGCATCTAATGATCCATTTAATAGTTATATTGATACGGGAATGCCCGCCTTCTTTATTGGTGATCAGAGGTAATCAATAAAATTCTGCCAAAGCCAATCCATTTGACAGCATCTAAATCCATCAAATAAATGGTATGTGGTTTACCATTCTTAATTCATTCACTTTCATTGGATCTAATGATCCATTCAATGATTATATTGATACTTGCATGGCCATGTTTATTATTGGTGATCAATAAAATTCTGCCATAGCCAATCGACTTGAAGAAGGTCCGCGGTTTATGATTCCTATGCGATTCATTCACTTTAGTTGTAGTTATTGATTGAACGGTCATATCGATATGTGCGCGGCCACCTTTAGTCCTTCTGTAAGTCAGAGGCAGCAGGGAGCCTGCAGTGGGTGTTCCTCTAAGCATTGGGGTGGATCAGTGCAATCAGGGCCATCCCTATAATGAGGCGGTTGCCTCAGGCTTCATCTCATTGCGGGGCGGCACGTGTGTGTGGGTGTGTTTGTGTGTGTGTGTGTGTGTGTGTGGCGTTCAACACCTCCACCGAATGACAATTCAGTGATAGCATCCCACCCAAATGACCATAGACTCACAGCACCGCCAATGCCACCCCAGCTAGGGTTGCCATCTGTCCAGGATTCACCCGGACAGTCAGGGTTTTGAATGCTGTGTCCTGGTTTCATGGCAGCAGAAACCCGGACACGAGATGTCATATAGACAGGGGCAACCAAAATTAAGATAGGGGCTACTGGCCCCCCACTGAAAATAGTCTCAACTGTGATATTTACACATGAATAAGCTGCGTCTCATTCTCCCATATAATAGAAATAATAGAAATTATTATTATTTCTATTATGTGAGGATTCGCTCCCAATGTTAGCGCATTAAGGACTCTTCCACTCGCTTATGACCTCTTTTAAAGGGCTTCTGTGCCCACTTTTATGAATCCAACTCAAAAGTCCACACAGGTTTACCCTCGCAGGGGTTTTCAAACATAACATACAGCTTTTCTTCAGCAAAAATTACACTTTTCAGTCTCACCGACTTTAGGAAGGTCCTTTAACAAAACGTCTGGCCACACAGGCGGTTTGCTACACAGGCGGATTGCCACACAGGCTGTCTGCTTTGCCACACAGGCGGATTGCCACACAGGCTGTCTGCTCCCCAGTCCACCAGACACACAGTCCGGCTCTAGGGTGGGCCCTTCTCTTAGGAGGCTGGGACTTCTTGTGTTGTCACAGGTCGGCTAGAACTATGAGGTGAGTGGAAATCACTCATCTCATAGTTCTCCTTTAAAGTGCTATTTTCCTCCTTCGTTAATGTTTTTGATCTAAGGTGGTACCATTGCCATCTATAATAAGCATAAAGGGATTATTTTCTCTATATTTAGGCTTTCTGGGGAAAAAAAAAGTTCCATATCCAAATTAATACGTTCTCTGATATCACCGTACGCAGAGCAGTATTCACAAATGTTCATCATCAAAAAGCCTTTCTTGATCCCCAGTCCACTGACTTTGCCCAGGCTGAGATGATGCAATCAGTCTGCTGCAGGTAGGAGGAAGCATTTCCTGAGTCTCCCCTCCCCCAGTGATCAGTCTGCTGCAAGCAGGAGGAAGCATTTTCTCAGTCTCCCCTCCTGCCAGCAGGGATCCCAACCTGAAATTATTCATTTCAGGGAGGTGCCCTCGGTCAACCCCACTCCCTCTGTGCGGGGGGAAGGGGGTGTTGTGCAACAACAAGGAAGAGAACACCCCCCTGAAATGATGGCAGATAGCAAAGAAGCTAATGCTTCCCTTGCTATCAGCTGTTTTTGTGTTCTGACAGCTGCTGCCGTTAAGACAAAAAAAAAAAAAAACGGCATAGGAATGAATAGCTAGATTGCTATTGGCTATTTCAATTTGCAATAGCCAACAGCAAACTAGCTTTTGCACCTGCCCTCTGCTGTTGTCAGTCAGCTGAAGTGGACCTGATGGAGAACTTCAGGTCCACCGCTGCTCAGGCAGCAATGGGCGGGCGCAATAGCTAGTCTGCTATTGGCTATTACAAATTGAAATAGCCAATAGTAATCTAGCTATTAGTTTCTATGACGTTTTTTTGCGGGGGTTTATGACTGACAGCGGCCCCGATGTCAGAAAAAAGCAACAAAAATACTTATAGCACGGAAAGGTTTTCTCTGCAGAGTAAAGGCCGTGACACACTGCACGCGAAGCAGCGCGGAGCGGGGAGCGCGCTGCCTTTGCGAGCAGTGTGTCATGTAATTTTCTGCTCGGCACCTCAGCTTGCGAGAGCTCGCGGAGCTGAGCGTGCCGAGATGAACAATTTCAACTTCAGCCAATCGGCTCGCGCGTATAAACCAGCGCGTCGCGATGCGACAGCTGGCAGGTTGTTATGGACGAGCCAATTGGCTGAAGGTGCTGTCAATCATCTGACTGCACTCAGCTCACACACTGCATGCAAAGCTCCGTGCCGGATATCTTTGCTTCGCTCTGCACGGCTTCGCGTGCAGTGTGTCACGGCCTTTAACCTTCCCGGGAGAAAATCTTTCTCTCCCAGGTGTCCGGGAGCCGCTATCTAATACTGGGAAACTCCCGAAACATCCGGGAGAGTTGAGATGTCTGCCCCAGTGATTATTCTGCTGCAGGCAGGAGGAAGCATTTCCTCAGTCACCCTCCCCCAGTGATCAGTCTGCTGCAGGCAGGAGGAAGCATTTCCTCAGCCTCCCCTCCCTACCCTCCCCAATGATCAGTCTGCTGCAGACAGGAGGAAGCATTTCCTCAATCTCTCCTCCCCCAGTGATCAGTCTGCAACATTGCAACTTTATAACAAGTCAGAAGGTGAAAGGCGTCAGCCAAGAACTGCACAGGCACCTGTATTTATATGATTTTGCCATCTTTAAGCCAGCATCTCAGGCCAGGAAGTATACAATTAGCAAATACGACTCTCCCCATCTACATATATACAATAATTACATATTATACAACCACTTTGTGTGCACCAAATGCATTCACAAACCCAGATATTACCTTGTAATAGTAGCTGTGACATCATCACTGTGCTGTACATAGCCTGTGCAGAGAGCAGAGCTGTGGGAGGCACCCAAAGGGCTCTACCCACTACAGGCTGCCTGCAGAAAACTACAGGAGGGGCGGAGGCAAGACCCATCACTCTGCACAAGTAGAGAGAGCAGCAGTGGCCGGTCTTAATTCTAGGAGAGGGCGGAGACAAGACCAGTCACCCTGCACAAAGAGAGAGAGCAGAAATCACTGGTCTTTATTATAGGAGGGGGCGGAGATGAGAACAGTCACCCTGCACAAGGAGAGAGAGCAGCAGTGACCGGTCTTTATTACAGGAGGGGCGGAGGCAGGACCAGTCACCCTGCACAAGGAGAGAGAGCAGCAGTGACTTGTCTTTATTACAGGAGAAACGAAGACAAGACCAGTCACCCTGCACAAGGAGAGAGAGCAGCAGTGACTTGTCTTTATTACAGGAGAAACGAAGACAAGACCAGTCACCCTGCACAAGGAGAGAGAGCAGTGGGTGGTCTTTATTACAGGAAGCTTTAACACAGAATAATACATCTATCTATATCTAGCAGATCTCTTTATCATGTATCTATTAAGATATGAACTTTAAGGTGCGTGACAACCTGGGGCTGTGACATGCTGCAGGTTTTTTTTTTGTGTGTAGAGCTGACATTGCTGCCTGAATCTGTGAACCAGCCACCGACCAGAGGAACTATTCCAATGATAGAGGTGTAATCAGATGCAGGATGTTGGCGTTCGCTCTCGCCTACGCGCCCGTCTCAGCACAATGTTGATGAAGCGCTGTGACAGCTGTAAAGTGTTAAATTGCAGGTTTGCTCCTTTAGAGTCGTCAACAGAGCGTCACTCCACCATTATATATTCGCTGCGTCATTTTCCAGGATGAACGCCCATCCGAGGTCTCTGAGCCCTGCGTTCCTAGCGGAGAACGGACGGAGCGATGAGAGTGAATGTTAATGAAATACCCGGGGACACATGTCACCTGTAACTCATAATTACCTGCAAAGTGCTGTCAGGGGTCAGTGAACGCTCGGCTGTACTGGGCTGTACCGGGCTGTACTGGGCTGTACTGGGCTGTCACTGGGAATTAAAAGCCGAACTCCCAATCGATTCCTCAATAGCCAGAAAGGACATAAATCCACTCTGTGTGCACCAAATGCCTTTGTAAACCCTTCGACAAGAATTGGTGACATCATCACTGCGCTCTACACAACCTGTGCAGAGAGCAGAGCTGTGAGAGGGGCCCAGAAGGCCCCACCCACTACAGAAAACTGCAGGAGGGGGCGGAGACAAGACTAGTCTCCTTGCACAAGGAAGGAGACTCCACCTTGAGATTTTGAGGCTGATGTATGAAAAGGAACAATTCTTGTTACCCAGAGAAGCCAATCAGAATCCTCATTTCCTTCAACGTACAAATGTCAACGTGGAAGCTGATTTGTCACGGTGACCAATACTTATCGATCCTTCCAGAAATCTTGTCAGCAAAAAGCTTTTTTTTTAATCTGGTGTAGTCATTTTTCTTTTTTTATCTCCTTTATGGAGCAGGAGAAGATTTCAATTTATTCAGTAGAAGTGTATAAAAAACCAAACAATGAACTTCTCTTATTTCCTTCATTTTAGTTTAGTTCATTTTTGTTATTTATTATTATCGTTGTTTTTATTATTATTATTATTATTATTACTATAATTATTATCCCCCTATATAATAGCAAAGGCACACTGACAGGTCCTCTCTATGGAGACATTAGGGGTCTCCAAGACCTCCAAAGACGGGAGGCGGCGGCACTCGTGGGGGGAGGGGGGGCATGAGACAAAATCGCGCCATACAACCGATCGGCGGCTACAGAGCCGCTGATCGGTTGTATGTGAAACAGCCGTTAAAGGCTGTAAAAACGAGCGGGTCTTTCCTGGCCGTGTGCACACTAGGGGGCGCGCGCGAGCAGGAAAAAAATGCCGTCTGCAGACGGCAACTCGCTGATGCGAGTCCGCCGTCCGTCCGTTTTTTCTTAACGGGCGGACGGCAGGAGGTTAACCTTTGCATACGGAAAGGATTCTTCACAGTTAGAACTGTGAAAGTGTGGAATAGACTCTCCCAGGAGCTTGTTCTAGATCAGATAACTGAATTAAAAAACATCTGTGATGCATTCCTAGATGCACAGAATATTACTGGATATTGAGTTATTATAGGTATATGAGGCACCAGAGATTGTTGATCCAGGGAATATCCG